TGGTTTCTTTTTTCTTAACGATTATCTAGTTAGATGGATATCTTAATTCAGTTATTATTATTATTTTTTTTTTCAAATTTTATGTATGTGCTTTTGGGCCAGTTAGTGAAAAATATAAATGAAAGAAAAAGATATCAATTTACTGGTTTTATAAAAGAAATATTTATCTCTGTGAATTATTATCCTGTGTCATAAGCAAAACCTTGGTTATGTGGTAATTCCACTTAATCCCACTTTTTTTTTTTTTTTTGTACTCTTCCTCTTCTACAAGCATAAAGTCATTCAGTTTACATTTTTTTTTTTACGCTTTCAGGCATAAAGTCATTCATTAATACTATTCAGTGAATATATCAAAATTTAAGGCCTCTCCCAAAGGAAGGGAGGACCATTTAAGTTGTAGTCATTGAATGTCTAAACAACACATGACAAAATCATTTCAATCAAAATTTCTTGATCAATTTGTCAATCGGGCTAATACTTTTTTCCAATGTTTCATATCTAGTTCCATCTTTTTTAGCGTCTGTTATCGATCAAAAAAAGAAAAAAAAATATTTATTTTTAGCTAGTCTTGCATTAGTCCATTTAAGCTTCCAGTCAGAGTCTGGATTCTTTAGAATTGGAATAGGAATGATCAATTCCCTTTAGTCATTTGGTTCAGACTAAAAAGAATTGAAATTAAAATTGATTGGAATGGATTCTCATTCTCAGGAAGGGAAGAGGGATTGACTATTCCCTCCAACCAAGAATTGGAATGAGATTCTGATTCCCCAACTAAATAGTTAGAATTGATCCTAAACCCCTATTCTCTCAAATGAAATAGACCCTAATTTTCTATATATATATATTGTTAATAATTTGTTTCATATTTGGTATATATAAATGAAACCAGCATAAAACATTGCATTTTAATTTTTAGGATTATTTTTTAGAACTTACGAAATACTAAAGCCGAGTATCATAACGCTCAAGCTTGGCTCAATTAACTACTCCGTTCAAGTCAAGCTCGGCTGGCTTACACCCCTAATAAGAAGGTTTATGTGCTGCAGATATTTTTCTTTCCTTGGTTGCCGCGAGAGACAAAGCGATATGGTGAACTTTTGTTTGTTTTGAGAAGAAGGCTTGAATATTGGTGGCAGTACTTTGATGCCAAGAAAATATATTTAATGGAAGCTAGGCCAGCCTAGAGCCCTAGGCTACTTGGTAAAGTCTCAATTTGTCGTCCACGAGACCTGGGTTTTGATCCTGTCGACACAATTGAAAGAGTTAGAGACTGGCCGGGGATGGAAATGCGTAAAAATCTTTTCTTATAATTTTGCCAAAACAATTATAATAAATTTATAAATTATTGGTTTCGCCTACCAAGAATGCATCCTATCTATCTCCAAGAAACTTGATCTTCACCCATTTTTATATTATTAACATACACCGTAGTTTGCATGAAAATGATCAGAAATAAATTCAGACATAAAATTAAAATAACAAGGGATTATGGTTGATAAGCGCAATTTTTGATTTCTAATATCAATAAAAATAATATTTTTAATATAACTTTTAAAATAGGTTAATTTTTTTAAAAAATATATATAAAAAATGAGCAAAAACATTGTCCATCTTCTTTCTCCTCCAAACTATCCTAGCCCCGTGAATTTCAGTGACCACCATCCACCAGTGCCACCACGTTTCCGCCCACCTCTAGCAATGCCAATCTGATGACATGCCTCTACTACACTAACCTTTGGGTCTTTGCCCCCACCTGGTGTCGCAACGTCATCAGTCAAGATCTCTAAGTCGACCTTTCGCTTCGATGACCAAGAAGATGAAGATCTCTTCCCCTCTTACCGCCTCCACATGAAACCATTTTTCTTTTGGAGGAAATATAGTTCAAAGAGACTCCACATCAACGATCCAATGAAGAAGAATGTTGAAATCTATTGGGATCTCACCAAGCCAAGTTTGTCGCCTCCAGTCCCGAACCCCAATCTGGGTTCTACATTGTCGTCATTGTTAATGGTGTGATGACCCTTCTTGTTGGCAATTCTCTGAGGGAGGCAGTGGCGTGGTGGCACTAGTGGGTGGTGGTCATTGAAGTTTGCAGGGCTGAGGTGGCTTAGAGGAGAAAGAAGATGAACATTATTTTTTCCTCTTTTTGATATATTTAAAAAAAAATTAACCCATTTTAAAAATTATTTTTATTGATATTAGGACTGAAAAATTACCGTTATCCCTTAAAACAATTAATTGATTAAAGGAAAGAAAGGAAATTAGCTTAAGGATTAAGGTATAGACCAGCCCAACATAAACATCTTATGCCATCTCCTTTTAATCGGATTTCGTTTTTACTTATTTGCAAGCGTTAATTTGGATAAAATGGCTAACCACGGGTTTTACTTTAACAATGATAATTAATTATGCTATTTCATTTTCATGAGAAAAAAAAAATAAAACCCTCTCTCACTCTCTATATATTTGTTTTCATTTTGGCAGTTTTGCATGATTCAGCCGTGCATTCAGGAGCATTTAAAGAAATGGCCCATCATGTCTGAACCATGCTTCACCAATTGGGAACAGCTATTCTTTACTTGACGCTGACTGCCGGGTTCTATCTTCATCACAAAAACCTACCTAGCTAACGTGAGCTTGCTTTGCCAATGCCTTTAACTGAAGTATTAATTCTTAAGGACTAAAAAGTAAAAAAAATAAAACTTTGCATCTATAGTAAGAGGCAGTTCGAGACTACGAGGACGTAAATCAGAGGACAAACCCCCCTCAACCACCTTTTACTGTTTTGTTTTTATTAATTAACTCGCATATTACTGGGAGTGTGAGCAACCTGATCAGATGTTCATACAAGAAAAGTTTATCCAAATGGGTCATCTACAGTTCTTCCGAAAAGGACTTGTCCAGGATTCCAGTTTCATTCATATGAGAGGAATGACTTGGCCAGTTCTTGTCACTGACGTAATACAGCAGAATACGACTTTTTTTTTTTGGCTGGCCACGTTAGTTGTTTCTGTGTGTGTGATTTTTAAGGCCACTCCATCTCCATGACTCCACACAAGTGAAGTGATTGAGGTTTCAAATGTTTTAATTTAGAAAATAAGGACTTTTGTTGAATCAGGGCGCCTGACACGAGGGAACAGTTCTATCTTAACAGAAGAGATAACATTAAAGGCTGAAAGCCTATCTAGCTTCAGTATATTTCCTCACTCAATTCATCAAAGTGATGAATGGATTGAAACCCTTTAGCGTTTGTTTGACATTGATGCCGTCGTTTCAGAAAATGGTGATACATCATGTCATGTTGGAAAAAACAGTGTTTCAGTAAATGCTAATATATTTAGAATTGAAAAAACTGTACTCTAAATAATGTTTTAGAAATTGAGAAGGCATAATCTGGAGCAACGCTAAATTCTAAATTTGGCGTTTTCTCAAATTGAAGCTTATTGCTGCAAAAGCAATAAAGATATGACATGGACTTCCTATAATAAAAATCAGTGCTGAAAACAGATATGAAGCACTAATACCAAACAGAAGTTGTTGCTATTACTCCAGGAAACGTTCTATCGGGGCAACAACATTTCCAAACCAAAAAATGAAAATGGTGCTTCCAATCCACACATTAGCACTGTTTAAATTTCTCTATATCTGCATCATTGATACCAAACATATACTTGATTAGTTCATCTAGAAAAATAGGTTATGTTCTGTTTAGAAAGAGTACTTGTAGAATACAAAAACTTACATTTTATATTATTTTATATACATTTGCACTGTACCTTCCAAACTGAGCCATAGAGTGAAAATAAAATACAAAACGTATTTGTGTTGATACTTGATACTCCTCCATTGGCTGAAAAAAAGAGACGATAAAAGTTAGTAACAATGTCGTTACAGGCTAGAGAGCATTATAATTGGCGTTTTGCACGCTCCATGTGGCCTTTGTCTTGCATGGCCCCATTTACAGTACTTGATGATCAACACAAACAATATGATGGCAAAGGATGACTGAGAACCCCAGCCAAGAACGGGTCGGTCGTCCTGAAGCGCACAAACACATAATGCATATGCACACTGGAAGACAGGTAATTAGGTAGCAATATATCATATAGATAGTGGTGTTTCCAGAGGTTCAGAAGCTTGTAATTGGTTTCATATTCATCAACATGGAGCTGCAAGTCGCTTAGCTGTGTGCGCTGATTGGACTCTGGTCTGGTAAATGTGTCTACGAAAGAAAATTGGTAGGAAAGACAGCATGATTTGTAGGATAAAGGAGAACACCCAGAATCCTTAAAAAGAAAAGCTACATCTTCCTAGAACTAAGAGTTAACTAACGATGAGTGGACGACTCTCTCTCCCACAGAGATACCAACTCAGCTCCACTTACAGGGAGGATATATACAAGGGATGTGTACAGATAACAGTGTATTAGACTCACTTTTTAGCAATATATAAAGACTACTACATACACTTGCCTTTGTTTGTTTGTTCAACACAGCAAGCGTCAAGACACATAAAAACCTGTACACTACGTGAAATTCCAACTTGGTGGTACAGTCAATGAGACACATACCACCCTTATCTTGTGTAATTGCGCCTGTCCCTGTCCATATCTATAGAGAACCGTATATGCCCCTTGAGTAAATGCACACACACACCTCCATCCACCTCAGTACTTCAATGAATAGGCAATGAAATAATGAACCCTTTTTTTGGACAATGCACGTAACTGTGAATCTGTAACCAATCCCAGCTTGGTATTCGGATTAATTAGTTGAACCAGGCTCACACTTTGATCACTGGAGTCAAACTGTGGTTAATGAAAAAGGTAGAGGGCATTTTGGGACACTTAATGATCATGCCATGTAAATATATCTATCTCTGATTCAGTGATTTTACCCTACAACTGTTTCCTACCGCGTTTTCTCATAGTTTTTTTTTATTTTATTACATTGATAATGGTAATGACTAATGACTGGTGGGTAAAGGGTGAGAGTGTGGGAGAGGACACTGGAGACTGGAGAGACATCTCCATCTATCTAATCCTCAAAAGCATTAATGCTTAAAGTTAAACCACACAGCCTGTTTCTCCCTATAGGTGCAGTTTGGACTCTGTGGACAAGAGAGAGTTGTGAGAGGGAAGAGTGCCCTATTTAAACAGATCCACTCATATCCCCTCTTTGCAACATCTGAAAGATCTCCTGCGGAAAGAAAAGAAAATATCTCTCTCTCTCTCTTTCTCTCTCTCTGATTTGCTAGATTTGTAGAAATATTCAGTCGTTGTCCTGTCTCTGACTCTCATGACGAAAATGACACATCCTCGCCCTCTGTTTAAAACAACTTCTCTTCCGTGATTTGTGCAAGTCTCTTTTTATTTATTTTTTAAATAAATTTTCTTATACCATTAGTGCTATTCTTATGCACCATCTTTTGTTCAATGTGGATCTGTCTTCACCCATCTAGTGCAGGTAAGGGCAAAAAGTGAACAAATAGGAATTTGGGTTTGTAAAGGTGGAATTTTGGGCATCATCATCAGTCGAGAATTAGGGTTTCTATAACTGGAAACACTAGCAGCACGAGATGTAAGCCACCGTTACTCCTCTCTCCTTCTTTCTTCTTTTCTCTTTTCCGAGTTGCCCTATGAGAAGAATTTACGTAAAGTTCTTTTCTTTTTTCATTTTCACCTTGATCTGGTTTTCTTTTGCTGTTTTTCCTTCTTCTTTCTTCGTTTCTTTTCCTAATATTTTGCTTAAATCTATTTGTTTGTTTGGGCTTCGATTCTAGTAACGCCTTCTACGTGATAGTTTTTCTTCGTCCTTTTGGGTTTTGGTTGAGATCACACTACTCCCTCTTTTTCTTTTGTTATTGGTTAGAGGGGAAACGATTTCCCTTGGTTGGTTTTACGTGACTTCGGTTCTTATAGATCTGCGTGATTCGATCTGATTTCTTTCTGTTACCATTCTTTTCTTTTGAGTGTTTTCTTTGCTTTTGTTTTGGGAGGGTGTGATGGCGGTGGATTTGATCCGGTGATTGTTAACCAATGTTCAAATGAGTAATAGGTTTCTTTTTTTTTTTCCAACTTTGTTTATTTATTTATTTTTCGTTTAATTGTGATATAAAGAAGTTCTCATAGTTTTCTTTGCTAAGTAAGATGTCTTTATTTGGATTGAGGTTTACATAAATTAGGGTTAGGGTTCATGACAACATCCTTTAGCTTATTTTAACACAGATACTGTATTAGGGCCTTCAAAATGGATCATCAGTTTTAGTTAATGTTTGAGGATTTGCAAATAATTTAAGATTACTCGTGATGTTCCTCTCCTACTGAAAATATTAGATTTGATTGCATCAGAGTCCAGAATATACAACATACATGATAGTTATCTTTGATGTTTGAAATTCTTACAAGGTGATCTTCAAAGAAGGGGAGGATGACAAGGTGATATACTTCTTTTCCCCCCTTTCGCTGGAAATATGATGCTTGTAAATCGTTTTGATTGCATAAGAGGCCATTCTGTGGTCTTGATTTATTTCTGAAGCTTGGATTGGTATTTAGATCAGTGCTCATAAGAAGAAAATCGAAGCTTTTTTTTTTTTCTTATGTTTCTTCTGTTTAATATTTTAACTCTGAGAGGAAAGTAGAAATAATGACTCAAGCACTTCTCAAAATAATGATGGTGATGATGATATAAGCTTCAAACCTAGGAAATGGAATATTATCAGCAGTGGTAGATATAATAAGTTAACTATGGTGATTATTTGTTCATGCTTTGATACACGATGTTGTTGATTTTTTTTGGTTGGGGTTGCACTGATAGGTTTACCAAGTTTTGCTGCTTTAGAAAATGCACCATGTAAGTTCTTAAATTGTTGCTCCCTTCGTTCTTTTTCTTCTCTTTTGGTAGCAAGGTTCTAATCTTGTAACTTTCTTTCCATTTGTATTTTAATGGCTGGAGTTGGATTTTCCTTGTCTATACGATTAGGAAATAATTACCATGATCATTTGATTTTCCCTTGTTACAAAATAAAAATCATCTTTTAAAAAAAAGTTCCATTGTGTGTTGATTTTCTCTTCTGGATTATCAAGTTAATGGTGTGTATTTGTTTTTCTGGACAGATGAACCCTTCATGTAAGAAAGACTTAAGAGTAGTATGCAGCACTGAGAAACGGCTTGAGAGAGCTTTCTTCAGTCCACTCATGGATGGGCTAAGGTGTTGAATTAGCTGCCGACTCATTCATTCAAACACTCAGTAGAAAGGGGATATTTTTTACTACTGTGAATGTGTGAATGATGCGGGAGATAATTGCCATTCTTCCTCCTCTATGCTTGGACTGAAGGGAGCTCCCTTTTTCTGTTTCTTTCATTCCTCTCTCTCTGAGCTTCTTATCTAACCGGAAAATCTTTTGACACTTGTCTGTTTCTTGATTTCTTCAGTTAGGTTATCTACTTGAATGATCTTTACACTTTTCCGTAGTTTCAACTTTCAAGCTTCACAAGCTGCCGCTGTCGGTTCCGCTGCCCCCGCCGCGGCCTCATCCAGTTTCTTATCATCTGCACTGCTTCTAAAGTTAATTATCTGTTTATTTTCTTTGCCAGAGGCATCTCTTAATTATAACTGAGCTACCGTTCGTTTCCATTTTCGTTTTCTGTTAATACCATCTATAAAGAAGATTTTCTTATGGAGATTTTTTTGGTAATCTTTTCTTATGGAGATTGGACCTGGCAGCCACGTTAAAATGTGACACTCGTTATACAAAAAATTCGATCATACTCGCACTCACGTTGTTACAGGTTGGAAGTCTGTACAGGTAAGGTTTTTTTTTTTAATTTTTATTTTGCTGAATACACTGGTAAGAGTAAGAGTGGAAGGAGATCGGATTCTCAGTCCTTACAATAAGACCTGACTAGTTATTATCTTCACCTGTTTACTATATATTTCTTTCTTAATTTTAAGTAATTATATGTTTTGTTGGATGATTGGTCATTCGAAGTTGCAACTGCGTAGAGGAGAAGAGAAGAAACCATTTTCATTTGGGTTGCTTTAATTTTATGTATTTTATTGTAAAAATCTGTGGAATAAACACATGTCAAGCTGCTGCAATAAAATTCAACTTGGGTCTGTTTCCACAAACCTCGACTGCTATAGGCTAACAGAGGTTTGAAAGTTGGAGCTAATATATGATGTATGTTTGTTGACATTTTTGGGCTTATGTCCTTGAAATCACACAACGAGAGGTTGTATTTTTTTATTCGTAAAAAGGAGCAGCTTGCCGAACAACCAACAAATAAGACACGCAAGCACCATTCAGTTCACACACCTCGAAATGAGATAAATGTACGGTCGTTACAGCAACAAAGTCATAAACACCACATACTTCACTTCTTTTCTTGACTATGCGATTATTAAAATAAACCCACTTTAATCTGCTTGTCTGTATAAAGTACTAATATGAAAAGACTTAAAAAGCTCAGTTGTTTGTGTTGATCGAGAGTCCAAGTACACTCAAGCCTGTTTTTTCTACTCTCTATTTGTTTTATTTGTATTTAGTTTAATTCTTTTACTCATCTCAAGGCGTGCCAACCTCTGAACTTGATGGTTATTTTATGTAGTTGTGTGGTTATTTCCCTTCATGATGCGGTTCTTGTGGTGCTATATACAACATGCTATTTTCCCTTTTTTTCTGTTCAAAATTTAACGAGTTTTTTTAATCCATATTTTATTCGAGGGATTGAGTAGGGGGTTCTGTTTAAACATTTGTTTTGCTAAATATGGACATGGGGACCTGTATGGCTGAATTACCTTTTATAGAAATAAGGTTAGGAGGTGGAGGTGATGAAAGAAATTCAAAAAAGGTTTAGGATTTGTGGATTGACACTTGTTCATGGTGGTTAAATATATATATCATTTCATCTGCAAACGTTTCAGTCGTCTTTTTGACAAATTAAAGCACTCTTCTGCAAACATTGGCTAGCTTTTAAATTTGATACGTTGCTTTTTGATTGAATTGATGCTGGGTTTGCCATTTCTTTAAGAAACCAGCTCATTTCTGTTTCTTTAATTTATTTTCCCTTCATTCAAAACCATGCAGTAATAACTTGTTTGTACGAGACAAGCGTGAGAGAGAGGGAAGATCGATGAGGCCCTTTCTAAATGCTCCTGTAGATGATTCCTTTTTTTGTCTCTGGGTGTTTGTTGTTACACTTGCAATGTTCTACCTTGTTCCATCTTCCATGCAAAGAAGATCAACAATTTGACATCATATGATTTGCCGTGCTAACATGTAAAGCCCAGGGTGAATTGATTCTTTCCACCTCTGAACTTTGGAGTTGCTGTGGTTGAAGAGAAAGATTGTTTGCGAGAAGAGTTCATTCATTAAGAAAAGGGCCACAGTCCAAGTTTGCAAACCAAAGTGCAAGTTTCAAATCCATCAAAAAAAAAAAAAAAGAGAAAAAATCCCTAAGCTTCTGTTTAAAGTCGGGATATTTTATTCACCTCGTAAAGACAAAGCTGCCCCCCCATCTACGTGATGGGCTGAAAAGCTCAACTCTTTATTATTCTTTTGAATAATGTTTTCATTCTTGAATCTAGAGTCTTTTATTTTGTATTGGTTTCTGGTTTGGAAGCGATCCTTCTGACATGTTTTTAAAGAGAGAGAGAAGCAAATGAAAAGCTAGAATTGAAACAAAATGCTCCTAGCTACCCACCCTTGGAAAAAGGAAAGAAAAAAATAATAAGAAATGAAGGATTTGCAGTGAATTTAAGTCCTTACAAATGGGGTCGGTAGATGGGATCGATCATTTGGCTTTGGATACCTGCAGCTTCTAGTTGTATGCTAGACATTCATGGTCATACATACAACTCTTCTACCGGTTGATTTGATTAATGGCCGTCCGCCTTCCGCCGTCCGGCCGCTTTCATTCATTACGAGTTATTGGACGTGGATGATGGTCATGGCCACAGAGGGAGCGTGGGGCTTTCCCCTTCCCAATTCCCACTCCCAAATTGTTGTTTCAGCCTTGATCTTGGGAGTTGCGTCTGGGAAAGTATGAAGATGATATGGGTATTGAAAGGAATAAATAATTAAGAAGGGAAACAATTATCGCATCATATGGCGTGATGTGATTGTGACCTACCCCCGTCACCTTTCTATTCTATGGTTTTTTCGATGTGGACAGCGCCAATATCCGGGCGGTTACTGTTGGACAGGGAGAAGACCGACGATACCTCTGCCCTCTGGCCGTGACTGACGCGGACACAAGCCAGGATGGCAGAGCAGAAATGAAAATTAATTACGTAGTGACTTGTATGTACGTAGTGACCAAAGGAATGCTCTTATGTCTCATCTTTATCTCATGTAACCACTACAACTCAGCGTATATTTGTATGGTATATGTAGGTAGTGACATTGACATAGTGTCTTCAAACGCGGTTTAAGAGTTTTTCTTCCAAGTTTTAGTAAAATCTCATTTTTCCTACAATTTGTCCACAGGATTGATTTGGGTTTGGGCCTTTGGGGAGATAAAATCACATTTCCGTCCATGTACCAGGAAGATATTCATCAATATGTTAATTATGAAATATGAAAATATTATCATTTGAATAAAAAAAAAAAGTAATGTGGTTTTTGAAATTAAGATATAGAAAAAATGTACTTTGAAAATCATATATTCCTTCACCGGCCATAGACGTACCAAGCCGCACATGGATATCTGGTTGAATAAATATACATACAGTAATGGAGTGGATGTGCTGCTGCGTAAGACGGGAAGAGTAATGAATGAAGTAAAAAAATAAAAATAAAAAAAATCAATTTCAATGCGTGAAGAAATAAAAGAGAAAGCTCATCTTGGTGCGGTTGGTATATATATAGTATTATAGTTGATAGCTTTGCAGGGGGTAACATCCTATTGCATTAAAGATATTAATTCGTACATACTCCATCAATGGTCTGAATGTATCCCATCTTTTTATGTTATTCGCAGATTTTGCATGTGTTTAGGGAAGCCAATATCTTGCTCGGAAAACTGGTTGGCCAACGTAGGTAGGTCACGAGAACTAGGGAACCGTCATGTTCTGGTCAGTCTTGTGATTCGATCGTTAGATAGAGAGCTAGGGGTCAGTCATTTAGCTACGGAAAAAGGTTATTATGTCTCATGTTTAAACGTTATTAAAACCCCAAAAAGTCACCTTACGTCAACATAACCTCTGAGATGGGACCAGAAAAAGGGAATATTTTAAAAATATTTTTTTTTCTCGTTTATTTTAAGGGAAATAGGGGGATGAGATGGAAAAAAAAAAGTAGGTTGCGAGATCTCAAAATTGTGTAATCAGGGTCATGCCAAAATCGTGCGTCATCGGTGAAAAACCTCAAGAAAAATCAAGTTTTGTCTTCACCCTCGTCACCATTGGTAATCACTGTTTCCCTTCTACCTTTTGCCGCCACCATCACTGTTGGTAATCGCCTTTGCCCTTCTCGATGCTGTCGCCAGCACTGTTGCTGGTAATTGCCGCCACCTTTCTATCTTCTACCTTCTGCATAAGAAAACCGACAACAGATGGTTTCAGGAACTTTGTAACCCCTTCTGTTGGAAGCATGGGCTCTATGAGCTGTGCCAAATGCATAATTGACATACAAGTCAAACTCAGGGTCGTTATTCTCTTCCTCCTTGTAAAACCTAACATTCTCAAGGAGTAGAACACCTCCTTTTGGGATTGCAACCACCAGCTTCTCGACTTCCTCACCGATACAGTCATTGGCCATCTCAACCTATTAAAAGCATATGCATAAAGTAAGCAAGAGGAATTTGCTGCTACGGTAGAACCTAGATCGGAGGAATCTGCCGATTCTAATTTCTCACAAGGTAACAACACCATTGATGACGATCCTCACCAAGGCATTCACCGGCGTTGAGGGCAGATTGATCTTTGCACATTGAACCTCCGAGATCTCTGTTTTGTGTAAGATAATTTTCCTACTATTTTTCCATGTAAAACCAAACAATGGAAAATAAAATTTTTACACTTTTCCCACACCCAAATCTTCCCACAAAACAAACGGAGCCTTAGATGCTCAAAATGTGGAGGCTGGAATTTTGTCAATTCTATCTGTGGTTCCATCTCATTTCTAACTCCAACTTTGTTGAAGAGAGGGACAAAATAATTTGCTATTTATGAAACTCTGTTTAAATATTTTATCCTATTTTTATACAAAACATTTATGTTGAAAGGTTTATGTAAACGTCGCCTGAGAGATTCGAACTCTCGCGGGGAAACCCCATGTACTTAGCAGGCACACGCCTTAACCACTCGGCCAAAGCGACGCTTCTGATAGAAAGACAGTATGACAATAATAGATGAAACAAAACTAGCCAAACGCGTAAATCCCCCATACAACTTTACATTGATCAATGGTGTAACTAAATCCTATGTATTTATGTTCACCTAATATTAAAATCCTCAAATCATCTTTAATTTATTAAAAGATTTTACAGGCCATAGATGCAACAAGAAAGTTGTAATTAGTAATTCAGATATTTAAAAGAAAGGACTCTTATTACTGTTCTAACTGGGGGTGTCAATTGGATTGGATTTGGTCCAATCCGATCCAGTCCAATGTGAGTTCATTATAAATGGACCAGGTCCAATCCAATTCAATGAATGTTTTGGACCAATTTAGACCAGTCTAATTCAATGTTTAGACCATCCAATCTGTTCAAATTCATTTTGATTTTAGATTGGTTTCAACCTAATCCAATATTAATTTGTGATGGAAAGACCGGGTCCAATCCAATCTAATAAATATTTTGGACCGGATTGGTCCAGTCCAATGTCTTATCGGTTTGTCCAATCCGTCCAAATTGATTTTGGACTGGACGGGGTCCAACTCAAAACTAATCCATTGACACCCTTAGTTCTGTAAACCTGCATTTTACTTTACTAGTGGGTGGGTTTACATGAGACTAAAGGGCTTGTTGGTTTCCTCTTAACTCTTACTTCTTAAGATGATTCTTACAACTTTAAGAGGAAAATGGCTGTTCGTTTCCTCTTATCTCTTAAAGAGGAATCTCGTATATTTTTTTTTTCATTTTTCAATGATACCCCCAAAATACAAACACTTCTCTTTCGTTATGACTCAAGGGCCTCATATGCAATAACAATTATTATTAATTATTATTATTACAATTAAAAGTTAATTAATAACTAATAACTAATTAATAATTATAATAATTAGTATTAGTTATAAATTTGAATTTAATTTAATATTATTTAATTATTAATTAAATAATAACTATTAATTAACAATAATTATTAATCATCATAATAATTTTTAATAATATTTTTTTTGAATTACATAGACAAACAAAAATTATTATATATGAAATCAAAATAGACATTTGACAACTTTCAAAATTTAGAACAACATTCTTTGCATCCAAGAATTTAGAGGAAAGAAAAGTTTACCAATACCAATATACCTCTTGATATAATTATTACATATTCTAACAATATCATCAAACTGCTATAAATTCAGGGGCTACTATTTGGCTGCTAGTTGAGTCATGCAAGGGCCAGTTGGGGGTGGATCACATGTAATTAAGTAGAGAACAGTGCGAGCTATGGTCACCCATCTCTCTACTGGATTCACATTTCCTTCTATTTGAAATATGACACCTTTGCTCTAAGTATGACGACTTTACATCTTACAATAACATCTTGGTTTAGCTTTCTCATGATGTTGATCTACTTTTGGGTGGGTATACCATTAGTCCATTAAAGATGATATATATCGAGTTTATTTGTGTAAGAATTAAAATAAAAATAACATATAGTGTCCAGCTCCAGAGAAGTATATATTCTTCAATTTAATTAGATTGTATGCATATAAATACTTAAGTTGCATTACTAACTTCAGACATTTTGAAGGCTCAAGTAGAGATGAGACAACACCGTGAGATTCCGGGTAAGTGATACCCAGGAAAATAAACTTTTCCTAGTCCCCACATAAATCTGAAAAAAGAACATGGGATTAACCAAAATCCTATTGACCAATTTTTCCTCTCCCAAAGTCCAAAAAAGAATGCTCCCTTAGATGAAATAAAAATGTCCCTTTTAATAATAGATTTTTATGACTAAAATGGTCATTGTCTTATAATCCAGGTCTTTTGTGGTTAAACGTAACTGATTCTTTGTTTTTTTTGTTTTTTTGTTTTTTTTTGTTTTTTGTTTTTTTTTTTTTTTTTTTTATGAAATAACTGATTTCTCATTGAAATAATACAGCTAATAAGTATTTTAATAATAGATTTTTATGACTAAAATGGTCATTGTCTTATAATCCAGGTCTTTTGTGGTTAAACGTAACTGATTCTTTGTTTTTTTTGTTTTTTTGTTTTTTTTTGTTTTTTTTTTTTTTTTTTTTTTTTTTATGAAATAACTGATTCTGCACTCATATAATCCAGGTCTCTTGTCTCCCATCACAGGTGCAAATAATGTGCAATATTAAAGAAAACCATTACGTCCTTTAACAGTTAAAAGTAATATTTCCGAAAATTGTGCTTTAGAAAAAGGTAATGGAATATTAACCCTGAAAAATCGAAAAAAGCTTTACATCCTTTCTGTTTTGTGATGAACTAACGAAGGCATGGTTTTGAAAATCGGATCGGACCGGAAAAAAACTGGGAACTGGTCAGGTGATCGGTTCTGGTTTTTTTCAAAATTGGATTTTTTCAAAAAATCATTGATTTTGGTCAATAAACGATTGATTCGGATGATTAATCATTTGAATGGTTTTAACCGTTTTTTATTTTATTTTTTAAATTTTTTGTTAAAACGAGCCAACCGTTTGATTTAAATGATCGGACCGTTCGACCCAGTAACCGGACCCTGACCGATTTAGTCTCCGAATCAGTTTTAAAAACCATGAACGAAGGATATATTCTTTGACCATTATTTATTTGTTTTTTCCATTATGGTTCTTTTTGTTCAAGAGAGAAAATATGTGGGCCTATTTAGATTCCACCTTCAGATGACAATTACAGTTGAATAAATTGATCACCATATATCATAAATATGCCAAATTTTCTGAGTAGTAAATGCAAAACCAACCTTCCTGCAGAAAGGTCTCATCCTATTCCTGCATTGAGCTCAATCAGTTTAAACTGATTTTCCACTAATGGTCTTGAACAAAACCTCATTAATTTCTCGGATGACGAGGAGGTACATTACACGCTTATATTGACTAAGTTGTCAAATCAGATTCCTCCAATCACCTGTTTACAGTGTTTTACGCCCACGAAGGACGATAAATCTGAACAGACGTCTACTGGAGCTTGCTTAACGGCTTCATCGAAATGTTCCTGCTTTTGTAACAAGTTTTTTAAAATCGAAATATGTAACAAGTTTTTTAAAATCGATTTGGATAATGAACCGGTCAGGAGTCTGGTTCTGGGTAGAATGACTCATTCTGATAAAAAAAATTAAAAAAATAAAAAAATGGTTAAAATCGCTGAACGGTTTGAATGCCCGGTTAGCGGTTTGTTGACCAAATCAACATTTTTCTTTGTAAAAATCTAATTTTGGTGAAAAACGATCAATTTCCTGTTTTTTGGTCTGTCCATTCGGTCTAATCCGATTTTAAAAACCATGATATATACTGTACAAAACAAGGTTTACATATACAATAAAATAAACAAGATTTTATACTGTAAATATTTGTATTGCATTCCTCCCAAACTGAGCCTTGAGATTTATAAGTTGTGGCCTTTTCTCGAGAATTTTCTCATCATGAAGTCAAAGGTCAGGTAATGCAATTTCGCTTTTTGTCTGTTTCTTCAATTCTTCTCTGTCCAATACGCCTGGTTGAGGCCTGTCTTATCTCTTTACACAATATTGTATTGTCGGTATGGAAACTCCAGTGATTTGCTGTCGAGGGGATGACCTCAGGGCCTCAACAACAAATACTGCGCTAGACCAGAATAGATGCCGCTGGAAAACAAAGCTGAGCCTTGATAGACGATTCACACTCAAAGTTGCAAGGGGAGCCCGTTTTTCCCTAGAGAGAAGCCTCAGGGAACAACCCTTCACATGAAAAAAATAAAAAACTGTTGAGGAAGTAGATGAAAACTTGATCGGACGTTTCAAAGCCAGGTCGGGACGGGAGCTTCCAATTACAGCAAAAAAGGAATACCAATTGATATTTCTTTCCGGGCTAGGGATCCCTGAGGAGAGAGGGAAAGAATTCCTCCCACCCAGTTAGGCAAGTAGGAGATATTTTAATTAACTTTTATCCTGGGTTAATATATATGAGCTGAATACCGATCATACATGGAGAGTTAGGTTTGAATCAGAGTTTTAGGTGGGCCTTAGCCGCTCCCAAGGACAAACATGAGCTCCAGTGGATTGCCACCAATCCACATCCCTTTCAATATCCCATCACATGGAGAAAGATGGGGCTCATGCTCATAGAGGCAGATTAAGTATTTAGAATATAGAACCTGTTTGCTATCAAACGACAACAACAATAAGAAATCTCCATTCTCATCTCATGATTCTTATCCATGCAGTGCACGGTTTCCATTCCAAGAGAAAGCTACAAACAACAATAATCAAGCTAAATGAGATGATGAAGACTTCTCCCCTTCTACAGATCACCCTAGTGAACGAGACTATTCTTTACCCTTTTATTTAATGAAATAATGAAGATCCCTACCCTAAGATTTTCTTCATCAAGGTGTCGTGATACCATCTTCAATGACTGGTGGAGCCTGCGCTACCATACATTTTATATTATATGTTGCATTCGTTCTTTTTTCTTTTTTTCTTCCATCCATGTAAACCCGACAACTAAAAAAGAAAGGAAATAAAAAGATAAATATATGAAAACCTACGGAGAATAACCATTATAAAGTGTCAAGCTGATATTTGCAAAAGCTGCTCCTTAGAAGCTCCAAAAACTCTCTGAAGAAAATTCTGGACAACTGCAATGAACTCCTCAACCCTCTCTTCATGTGGTAAGTGGCCACAGTTCTTAATTACTTCAAGGCAGGAGCCAGGTATAGCTTCTGATAGCCTCTCAGAATTCCAGTAGGGGACAAGCCGATCGGTATCACCAGTGACAATCAACACTGCATTAGATAAGCAAATGGAGACAAGAATCAACAGAAAGTATCATACTTGCAAAAACTCATTACGAAGCATTTTATTTAGTGTTTACAAGGACAATATAATTCAAGGTTCTTTCACTGGTCATACTTCATCTTCATCGTTGCACTTGGAAGGTTGATAACAATTCCTACTTGTATTGCACTTCACCTTTTTTTTTTTCTTTTTATTTTAACCTGGGGTTCATCCAGGGTAAGGGGACATTACATGGTGCAATGGTAAAATATCAGGCTAACAATCATGGGAAAACAGATTCAAGTCTGAGAGAAACCACCTTATGCAAAAAGTGCCAAAGGTTAGGTCTGTATCCAATCCACTCTTCCCAAGACCCCAGATAGCTTGGACCAACATTGGGTAATTACCCTTCATGGATTCATGCAAGGACAAGTTCGCTTTGGCTCATACTTTTGAGTGTTTACCAATAAGATGATTCCACATCAAAGGCTGAAACATGTCAGAATAAGGAAACAGAACCTCTGTCAAGGTTTGATTGGACTTCGTTTCACAGTTGAAGTTTCTTTCTTAAATCTGACATGAATCGCTCATCTCATTGGTCAGTATGAGGAAACACACACAGATATATGAGCCAAATAGAATTCCCTGGCCAGACCCTTAAATTTTATTAAAACTGGTTAATGATCCAGTACTCAGTATGGGGCAACTATGCATGCCCATTTTGTTTAGATCCCACCATCCACCCAGTAGGTCTTGACACTTGAAGCATCTAGGCTTGGCTTTTTATTTGATTTAGGAGACTAAATTAGGTTTCATTTGTAATTAAACAATACACTCAACCTAGAAGAATGGGACCTACATCAATATTGTCTTGAAAGCCTTTGTAATGGTTTTTTGTTCAAGTTGGGAAACTAAATTATAGTGGCATGTAGAAGTGCCCATGCAAGAGAAGAGAGGAAAATAGAGAGAGAAACGAGTAGACTGCAGATAGAGGAAAATAAATGGATTAGATTTTACACATGGTGGGTGGTCTGGACGTGAAGCCAAGGCAAGTATTGGCATTATATATATACAACCTACAAGAGGGTGGTAGGTGTAGTTCTGATATAGAACTGTAGGTTTCCCACCTGACCAAAAGTAGGAAGCTAACAGTTAGATTAGAGGGTGGGAACATAGAATTTTATGCCAGAAAATTTAAAGGACTCGATCTACAAGGTGCAATATATTTGAAGTACTAATTATAAAAAAAAAATATTTGAAGTACCAGATCTATTGACAACCATAATTCCTCTAATTTCTCATGAATGTTATCCAAATATGTCAAAAGACCATCCTCTAACGTGGATCTCCATCTAACTTGGCTAGACCATTGGCCACTCGGTTACACTCACCAACTTCATGCTTACTATCAGTCTATTTGCTGCAGAAGGTTGACTATCCTACTAACCCAGTCTTATCATCCATGATTCCATGGTGGGTTTATTCAACCATAAATGGCTTCAAGTAGAATTGTAAGATCACATTCAATATGGATTCTAGTTTGCATTTGGAGATGGATCCAGAAATGTATTTCGTTGAAACAAGCTCTGGCTTCAACTGTGTTGTTCAAACCATGCCCATAAGCTTCCTGTCCAATCTCTTATGCATCCACCCCATCTACTTGCTCATGGGTTCTCTGCCCTGAGTTCAGTTTGGTCCACCATCCAAGTATAATAACCCGATAGTGCAGCATCTTTGGACTGTGGAGAGGATGCCTTCAGGCTATTTACACTGAGGATTGGATTGGAGTAAGTTTTCAACATCCTTTATATACTAAGTATGCATTTAACTGCAAAAGAAGGATGCTGTCATGCATCGTCATACCTTATGAAGTTCACTAAGTTATATCTCCCACAATCCTATAATAGGGACTATGCCAAAGAAGTATAGTAAATTGATTCCTGCCAGATACTTGTCTGAAGCAAATTAAGCATCTCTCTTCAACGTTCTAATTCCAGATTTGATTGCATCTTGAGAAAAGGGCTGAGCATTGTCTGAACTTCCTCTGCAAAATAACTTCTATTGGAGATGATTGACATCATCCACTTTACCCAGATATGACACCAAGATACCTTGTAAAATTGTTTCATGGGGATACTTCAATTTTTAATGTAAACTCAATATTTGAGAGTTGTCCATCCTTTGTCCTTACCATATCTGGGTAACATAGCTTGGATGCCAATTTGAGATCAAGCATAAAATTCCTGCCAGTAGGCAGCTTTCTTTTCAAAGCCTTCCAAGCATGGTTTGACATCCTAGGGTGTAAAACTGAATGTCAAGTAGATTTTAAATGTCTTCATCCTTGTTTAAGAGTGGATCTGTATTGATGAAAAAAACATTTAATAATGAGGAGTTGATTCAGGAATCAGGAAGGGTATTATCAAAAGATAATTATCATTGCACTATTGCAGTTCAGATTCCATGCACCTTTAGCATCCAACATATTACCTACCCTACCCTCAGGGTTTAGGATGCTGTTAACACTTACCAGGTTAGCAAGTGGCTCATTTCATACCTAGGGCTGCAAACAGATTGGATTGAAATGGATATACCTAGATCCAAATTTGATCCATTAATTTTTCTTTTTGAAAATTTGATCCACTAATACTTAGCAAAAAGAAATTTGATCCATTAATAAGTGGATTCACCATATCCATCAAATTCAAATCAGGCTCAAATCAAATTCAGATATTGAATACCATTGATAAAGTAAACTAAAAATGATTTGAAAAATATATTTTATTAACAAAATGAATTTGATATTGTGTATCGTGAATAATATGACTTGGACTTTAACTAATGGCCCATGGAAAACAAACAAACATTAATTTTATATAGATATAAGCATTTATGTTTCAATATTATTGGATCTGATCATATCAGGTCCAATTCGGGTGGATCCATTATTGATCCAATTATAAAAGTATTGAACTTGGATTGCCTTAACTGAACTGGATTTAATTTCGAATTTGGGCAAATTGATACCATTTGCAGCCCTATTCCTGCCCAACTAGCACAATAACGTAGCCATGGTCCTGCATTGAATCTCAGCAAGGGATGCAATTAAGTATGATAGAGCAATTCCCCTTGTATGGTCAAACAACTTCTCAATGTTGCAAGAAAATCAACTCTGCAGCACTGACCACCATTACATAAACATCTTCAATTAGCCTAGTGTTTTCACCACTATCTCCTTTTACTACAAAGGGTTCCACATCTTTCCCACTCTCAAAAATTCTTGTATGCAGAGTTTTAGATTATTTTCCATCATGCTAGAGGCCTTAGAGCCATCATTTGTAATCTTAAATTTAAACATCCATCCTAAACCCCTCCTTAGACCTAACCCCATCTTCCAAGTCCCTACTCCTAACTACAAATCCTATCATTATTCTAGTTCTCTTCATGTGTCCCTTACTTTTTAGAGCATCCACCCACTGTCGTCACTTGCCAAACTTTTGTAGGAAGGCCAGCTATCCCCTTCTATATCATGGGAATAAAGAGGTTTTTAATAATATTGGCTGCGTTTACCATGCATAGTATGCAACTTAAAACTTTTTCATCAGTTGCCATAAATTCTAAAGAAAGAGTGATATGTAAATAAATGCATGCGTACAAGATATAACATATTTTCTACACATACATAGTTGGATCACCCAATCCCAGCTCAAGTTTGGGAAAAGCCGAAGATTTGAGTCCAAGGCCAAGGTCCAGACCACAACCCTGAAATGGCAGCACAACTTGTGCATGTTGCACCTGGCCCAAGGTCCAGACCAAAAATGAATTATTCATGATCTTATTTCCTCTTTTGCTGACATAAAGTGGGAAAGTAACAGCATTTTATGATTGTTACCTGGACAAGAGATCTCGTGGAGCCTTTTTGTTAGTGGTGGCTTTGATTCAGATTCAACATCTGTAAGCATGGCTATCGTGTATTCCACAAGAGCTCTGTCCCAGTCTTTAACCCTCAATGGCTGTGTTGGAAAAAATACAGTGAACGAAAAGAAGTTAGAATAAAATTGATACAGTCTAAATGCTTCATAATACAATACTCTCATAACAAACTCAGAATGCTGTATTTTACAGAATCATAACCGACAAAGACAAGGCAATTACCTTTGTATAACCGCACAAAGTGTGAGAACTAATTTGAGTTGCATCATACCATGAATTTCGAATGGCAGCTATACCAAATTTGTCAATTATGATTCTTACCTGCACAACCAAATAAGCAATTGAAGTGCAGACACATAATGAAAATATGTCAAAAAACAAATAGGAAAAGAAATGCTGTTTTAGATGCCCATGCACTTTTTAAAGTAACTAAAAGGAATTTTGTAAAAAGAAAAATGCAACCATCAAAATACAATGCAAAAGCATTGAGAAAACAGTAAGACAAATCACAAAGCTCTAACAACAATCCCAAACCCAAAAATCAAGCCAATTCAAAATCAATGAACAGAACAAGACGAGACAAATAAAGCAATAGCCACTAGCAGTCAAACCAAGGATCTCAACTTGGAAAAATGCTATTATCTCCAGACCCTAAATGCATAATTTTTAAATTGTTTGTCTCCCATCTGTATAAATATCTTCAGCGCCCCACTCCCCCATCAATTTCTTGAGCTCCCAATTCTCCATACCAATTTCCCCACTTTTATAACACCACTTCTCCATATTTGAACCCTCTAATCTTTATAATCCTCTCCCTTTGAATCCTCAGCTCCAGAACTACCAAACTCACTAGCCTCCTCCTCTACTCCTAAACCATCATTCCTCTCCCTTCCATGCAAATCAGTGTTTTAAAAGTGCAAGGCGAGGTGGGCGCCTTTTTTAGGCAAGGCACACACTTTTAAAAAAATGCAAAAAAAATTCGAAAAAAAATGCAAAAAAAAAGCAAAAAATTATAAAACATAATATTAATAAAAATATTAACTCAAGTTTTAAAAAACCTATTATCTAAAATTAAAATACATAAATATAATATGTAAAGCATATTCAAATGAGAATTTAAAAATGAAATCAAACATATAAAACATTTTCAAGCATATAAAACCAACAATCTCTTTTTTTTTCTCAATTGCATCAAGTAGCTAATGTGATATATTACATTCCTAATTCTACGAACCGCCTTTGTGCCACGCCCCTCGAGGCAAGCCCAAACAAGTCCATGTTAGGATCTTAAATTCTTTGATTTCACACGAAAACTAATAATTTTATAGTTTTAATTGCTTTTAAGAAGATATTTTATTAAGATGAATGAATGGAAAACATTACCAAATAGGGGGTTCTTGAAGCTTTGGTGAGCGAGCGAACGCCCCCGGCCCAGCGACCAAACTCAAAAAAAGGGAAAAAGCGGCAAATTTTCAAAAGGCACACACTTGGGCTAAGGCACAAGGCGCACCAGGCGCACGCCTAGGCACACCAGGTGTGCGCCTTTTGAATGGGCTGCACCTAGGACTTGGGCGAGGTGCCCACCCTAAAATGCGCCTCGCCTAAGCGCCTAGGCATGCCTTTTAAATCACTGATGCAAATATAAACAATACCCATATGTTGATAGGGAAATAGAAATAGGAAACAATCCAAATTGTAATTAAGGTTGTCGAAAATATGCTAGTGGAAATAGGCAACCCTCCTGGCCCCTGGGTGAATTGAGTAATTACCACCCCAACCAATCTTTTCTTCTTTTTCCAATTAAATAAGAAAAAAAAAAGGTTTTAAAGCATCATGATAACTTGTCTAGGTATGAAGTTTGAAGAAGTAGGATAGAAAGGAAATTATGCATAGGAACCGATCCAAATTGTAGTTACAATTGATTGAATACACTAGTAGCAACTAGCAAGCCTCTTCACCTTGGGTGATTTGAAACAGTCCTCATTAGTCTTTTCTTCTTTTTCCAATTAAATAAGAAAAAAAGGAAAAGAAAAGTTCTAAAGAGTCAGGAATACATGTATTGTTTTGAAATTTGAAGAAGAAAGAATAGAAAGGAAATTAGGAATAAGAACCCATTCAAAGTGTAGTTAAGGTTATCACAACACACTAGTGGCAACTAGCAAGCCTCCTGGCCCTTGAATGATTTGAATAACCACCACCACCACAACCAGTCTTTTATTCTTTCTCCAATTAAATAAGAAAAAAAAAAGATTTTAAAGAGTCAGGAAAGCTTGTATGGCTTTGAAGTTTGAAGAAGCAAGATAGAAGTAAATGTTTGAATTCAAAGTTTGAACAAGTAGGATATGAAGGAAATTAGGAATATGAACCCATTCAGATTGTAGTTAAGGTTGTCATCTTGTGCTAATGGCAACTAACAAGACTCTTGGCCCCTGGGTGATTTGAATAATCGCCACCTGACCAGTTTTTTATTGTTTCTCCAATTAAATAAGAAAATAAAAGAAAAGGTTTTAAAGCATCAACAATACATGTTTGGCTTTGAAGATTGAAGAAGCGGGAGAGAAAGGAAATTGGGAATAGAAACCATCCAAATTGTACTTACGATCGTCAGAATAAACTAGTGGCAACTAGCAAGCCTCTTGGCCCTATGGTGATTTGAATAATCACCACCTTGACAAGACTTTTCTTCTTTCTCCAATTAAATAAGAAAAAAATAAAAAAAATTACAACATAGGGAATACTTATCTAGCTTTGAAGTTCGAAGAAGAAAGAATAGAAAGGAATTAGGAATATGAACCTATCCAAATTGTAGTTAAGGCAGTCAGAAGACACTAGTGGCAACAGGAAAGCATCTTGGCCCCTAGATGATTTGAATAATCACCACCAGAACCAGTCTTTTGTTCTTTCTCCAATTAAATAAGAAAAAGAAAAGAAAAGGTTTTAAAGCACCGAGAATAATTGTCTGGATTTGAAGTTTAAAGCAAGATAGAAAGGAAAATAAGAATAGGAAACCATCCAAGTTGTAGTTAAGGTTGTCAGAATACACTAGTGGCAACAAGCAAGCCTCCTAGAAAGGATTTTAAGCGTCAATAATACTTGTCAGGCTTTGAAGTTTGAAAAAAGAGCATAGAAAGGAAATTTTGGAATATGAACACATCCAAGCTGTAGTTAACACCGTCAAAATACACTAGTGGCAACAGCCAAGCCTCTCAGAATACACTAGTAATAGCTTAGTTGAGTCATGCTTAATTGGAAGAAATGGTGATTGTGCAAAATCAGGATACATACAGTGTGGAGGGATGCTTTAGGCATACTAGTTGACCAAGTGACACACATTTAGTTGAGTAGGTCTAAAACATGAAGACAAGTAGATCTTACAGTTAAATCCACATGTATTAACTATAGAAACTAACCAAAGAAGATAATAATAAACTCACTTACCAACATTACCCCAAAGGCCGAACACAGAACTGCTTTTAAGGCTTTCTTATACACAGAACTGATCATATCAACCATCCCTTTTAGCATCTGCATTATCCCTTGAGCAATGTACACAAAGAACTTTGACAAAGTCCTTCCAATCCTGATAAATGAATTCTCAATGATATTTGAACTCGATCTGTTATCTTGGTTCTGGTTTTCTCTTCTCATTTGGTTTCCTTTGACACCTTTAGGTAAAACATATGGGGCCAGAATTGCTGGGGCAACAAGGATCAGAGCAGCAACACGCTCAGGAGCCTCGAAATACGTATCAACAGCTACAAGAGAACCGGCTGAGTGCCTGGGAGCTCATATTTCCAGGTTGGACAGATTTTAGCTGTCAGAATTGAAAGGTTGCAGGAGAGGAGAAAGATTTGAGTTCTACTAACAAATTAAGTTTGTTGCAGGAAACATGTTGACTAAGCTCTGATATTTACTACAATCTAATCAAATCCAATTTTTTAACTGAAGATCTCCTTGGTGGGTTCATCCACCTGGGATGCTTTCCGTGCAAAATGTCATATCAACTAGATATCATTCCAATAGGCACGGCTAGATTTTATATGAGATGACAACGATGAACAATAATGTGAAATTCAAAACTTACATACCCTATAAGTATTGCCTTCTCAGCGGCTAAGATGTCAATGAAAGACAGGGTCGCTAGCACAGAAAATGCCAGGGAGTACGGATTTAAAGGTTTTGAATCATCACTAGCACCGGAGTAATTCACCCTTGATGTTAGCCCAAAGGCTGGCCTGTCAAAAGCAAGAACTTTCCCACCAGTGACCTGTGCCAAAGGCTTCATGGCTCGTTCCCATGAAAACACAGAGGCTCCAAAACCATGTAGTAGAATAATGGGCATGCCAATCTTTTTAGTCTGGTAGGTAAGTTGAGAATCAGCATGACTGTGTAACGAGTGCTCTGTTTGATCATTTTCCTCACATATCTTATGATGTATATGCACCCCTTTAAACTCACAAAAAAAACTGTCTCGATCAGCTAAGACCATTGGATCCAATAATTCATCCTGATCAATGCCAGCTATTTTCTGTGTTGTCCGCTTCTTTTCGCTATCCGGTAATTGCTCTGAAGAAAAAAAAAAAAGAATGGATTAACTATTCCTTAGAAATCCAGAAAAGTCTAAATGCTCGAGATGCTTATAGAACAATATCTGAAAGAAGTGACCACCTTACGCACACATAAGTGTGAACGTTGTTCAAACCTTGGGGCAAAGAATATTGGTTTTATGAAATATTAGTGGTTCTGAATTCAGTCAATTTAACTAAAAACTAGAGAAGTTCATAGCTTTTAAGTCGAAGTTATATTCCACGTCTTCCAATTGACAGAAAAAGAGGTTCGTTCTACATAGACCAAATGTAATCTTGCGATAGCAAGATCAAAAGCTGCCTGTCAAGATTATTTACCAACTATACAAGCGTAAATAAACTATTAAATTCTTGGAGAGTGAATTTTTACCGGAATATCCAGCGTCGGAACCGGTGATCGAAGCAGCTCTCAGGTGTAATTCTAGCTTCGTCCTTGGAGAACCGAAGCCGGGTTTCGCCGGATACTTGTGGAAAACGACAAGTTCACTGCCGGCGAACCTCGAGTTATGCTGTGGAGGTGGAGGGGCAAGGCAAAAGAACCGGTGAAACCCTAGACTCATCTTCTGCGAGAAGAGATAGTGGTTGAACTGTTGAAAATCTTGGGATCCAACGGCAACGAGAAAAGAGTGGTTCCAACAGACGGATAATCGAGTTATTTCCCGTCAATTTTTACTAGAATAATTGATTTTTAAGGCAATATTAATGATTTTGCCGGAGTTTAGTTTAGTCCAGGCTTTCCAATTCCAGCAGAATGTTGGCTAGAACTGGAAAAGAGGTGGAGATTATTCCGGATTCTCATTTTCGTCTTTATAAGTAGAGAGAAGCCGGCGATTCCCAACAAGCAAATGTAGATAAGGAAAAAGGTACGGTACCAAACCAATCAATCCTTCGGGCTTCAACTAAACCGGCATAGTATTTCTGATTGGTTACTTTATTTATAAAGGAGTCTGATTGGTTGAAGTTTTCTGGCTATAAATATTGTCTTTACGGTACCACAGATCCCAGTCCTACTCACTACGGCGATTTATTGGTCAGTTATTTACGTGATCAAAATTTATGGTATCTTGAGTCTTGACTTAAACTCGTCTGAAGCCTAATGGTGAACCCCGATCTGCACCTTCTGACTTCTGAGGACCCGTTTTGAGTCTCGATTCTTGGGAGAGAGGTCAGATGGTTGAACTACTTTTACTTTTCAAAAGCCAAGCCATCGACTGAAGCTTCTTTTTTTTTTGGGGGGGGGGTGAAAGCCAATCTGGACTGGACTTCTGGAATTTACAGGTTATTACATAAAGCACTGTTGATATGCTGTCCTGTCCGGGTGGAGCCCATTACGCAAAGGACAAATACGTGGCAGTTTTGTCCGAAGACGAAGACCCAACACAGGAACGGAATCTGCTCCTCACACATGGGCGCCTTACAGACACGTCTCCCTTGAATAATTACTTATAAGTATAAAAGATGTTTCCAATGCGTGATAAGATTGTTCATGTGAAGCGCCCTGTGTGAGGAACAGATCCAGTCTCACCAACACGAACTATACAAGACAAACCGTAACAGGCTGCCTGACCTTCCCGAATAACGATGATCTCCAAGAACTCCCCCATCAGGCCATCACATAACCGAGAATGGATTAGGTGAATTTGATAATTGTGTTACGGGCGGCCAAAATTCACATCTGTGCCCCACAATGTCTCACAGCACATCTCCTCTATATATTGGGAACATCTCTCGATGATGATCATCGATTCTGGTACTATCATTGGAAAATGTTCTCAATATATGGTGGGGATGTAGACATTGTGAGGCACAGATCTGAACTCAGGCCGCGGTGGGATCAATCATTTTGTTGCACATCAATATATACATCGCCTAAAGCTGCATTTGGCATTCGGATTTATTAAAAACTCAGCATTCATAACCATAAAAAAGGAGATAATTCTTTAGTATAAGAAATGGAAAATACGGCCTAAGAAGGATATCAACGACTACTACTAAACATGAGCTTTCCTCCTAATTTTTAATTGGTTATATCATACGATATTCTTTTTTAATTCTTCACGGATACAATATGCCGTGTATCAGACTTGTCAAGTTGATATTTTGAACCATGATTGATCTGCGCCGAGAGACCCAATAAGCATGGCAAAGAAGCGGGGGAGAGATAATACTAATAGAGCCGGTGATTCTACTCTATGCACCATGGGGGAGTATGCATGTGAAGAAATGGAGGACGGTTGATCATCAGCATCCAATGCATACCTCATTTGAGCATGTCTCTATGGAACGCTCTATCATTTGGGTTAGTCTGCCTCGAGAACAAAATGCAACAAAGACTTGGAAAGGGAATTTCCAGAGTATCATCTTATATAAATCAAGTTTTTTTGTGCAATGTAAAATCTTTAAGTAAAATATGTGCTTCGGTGGATAAAAAAAAAAAACTGTGGAAAGAAAACTCTAATAAGATTAAAAATACGCCACTAAAACTTCAATGAATGGAGAATGAGCTACCAAAGATGGGACTGGATCTAACATTAATCCTCTTCTAATGAGGAATGACGAAACCCCAAGTTAAATTAATCCTCGCGGACGCCTAGAAAATTGATTTAGGATCTTTGTATTAATTATTAAAGAGGGACTTCACAACCTTAGAAGCATGCCATACTGTATTAAGAACCAAACAAGGGCAACCAAGTTAAACAAAAAACTACCACCATATGTTACATTTATCGAGTCATCCATTGCCACAGGTTAACAACAGGGATCAATCTTTTTTTTCTTTTTTGGTTTTACACATTTCTAGAAAGTATATACAGATATATTTACGTAATATATTATATCACATTATAGTATTTACATAGATTTTCAGGTCTCATATCTACAGAAAGAGGGATGGAAGAATATATAATGGTCTTGTGATCTTTCAGATCGTGCTTGATCTTGGGTGATCATCCGTTCTCAGGAAACGGACGTATTCCTGCTGCTCCATCTCCCCTCCATTTAAAAGATCAAAACTGCACCTGTAGAAACTGGAGAAAAGAAACTCAAATTAATTTATTTTGTTTTTCTTCCCTCTTTTTCATTTTTTTATGATATGTAAATAGAGATGGTTCATTATATGATCTAGACCACCAAACCTCACCGAACCAAACCAAACCAAACCAAAATTAGTAGTTTAGTCTGGTTTTCTAAATTTTAGTAACCAGACCAAACCGTAAATCAAATTATCAATAATATATTTATTAATGTATATAATATATAATACATATGTTTGTATATATTTATTTGACATTTCATATATTTAATACATGTTTAACATTATTGTTGTTTGTTTCAATTTTTAACTTGTAATTTGATTCCCAAGGAGCTGTTTATGCTTGAAAAGGTATGAATATAATTTATATAATAGTAATAGGTGGCACTTGTTAACAATTCGATTTAGTATTTGAATTATATTTGTTTATGTAGGTATGCATGTTATTTGGGCTTTCTAATTGGGTTAAGCCCAATAGAATGGCCCAAACCATATTAGAAATCTGCTTTGGTTTCTATACTAAAATGGTTCGATTTGGTTTGAGAAATTCTCAAACCATAATTAGCTGGTTTGGTCTGAGATCTTGTCCAAACCGAACCAAACTGGACCATGAAATGAGTTGTTTTTCCCCTGCCCCTTTGGAAACGAGTTGCAACAGGACCTACCTTTTAGTCTTTTTGTGGACCAGAACTTCAGAGTTTCTCTTATATCAAACATAAGATGCAGAGAAATAATTCTTTCTTTATGTTGCTAAAAGGGGGGGTTGGCAGATTTCTCATTCTATTTTTTTTATAAATAATTTCTCACTCTATTTTCTTTGAGTGTGAATCTTGTAATTACCATTTTACAAAAAATGAAGTTAAAAAATCAATATAATTTAAAGTGAGGATTCCACATATAACTCCTAAGATTCTGACTGACAAGTGTTCAAGGGAAAGTTAACTTGTATAAATACAGTGTTTTAAAAGGTGTGGGAGGCGTACGCCTGGACGCCTGGAGGCCTCCAGGCGAGGCGCTCCCAAAACGCCCTGAGGCGTATGTTAGAGGCGCTGACACCTCTGAGACGGCAAGCTCGCTTCGCTCGCTCGACAAGACCCCCCCCTTTCAACTAATGTTATACATCTTTGCTCTTCTTGACATAAAAGATTTTTATTAAAAATAAAGAAAAAGTGAGATCCCCCCTTCCTCTTCATCCTCCTCCTAACCCCCCTCCTCTTAAGGAGGCTTACACCTCCTTGTGTTCGGGAGGCTTACGCCTCACGCCTCTAGGTAGTGGAACGCCTCGTGTCACACCTCCACGTTTTAAAACATTGGTATAATATGGTTCAGCACAATATCATTATCTTCTACTCATTAACATGTTATGACTACGGTTTAAGCCAACTAGGATATCCTGCAAAAATAACCCAATTAAACTACAACCCTAATCTAAATTCTTTAAGTTGAGGCAAATAATATAAGTAAAGCATTTCTGCACAACTAAAATAGAGCTTAAACAGAAAGATGGAATCTACCCAAAAAAAAACAATAAAAAAAGATGGGAAATAATCTTTAAAAAAAGGTAAAACAAGAAGCAAAAAGAACAACAAAAACAGCCTCGTACCTCCCATCCATGCCAATAATCATGACTGTGTTCTGGGATCCAAATGCAACAAGGAAACGAGTGTCTTCTGGCAAATGGAACTGAGCAAAGGACCATTCCGAGCTAAAATACTTTGGTAACATCCCTGGCCATTTAGAGAGGACGCATTAAGCATAAAGAAGGAAGAAAAAATGATCAGTTCTTCCAACCCATGTTTCATGGGCACTTAACAATGGGTGATATCTCTGTCAGACACTTCAACTTTTAGTGTAAATTCCATGTTACACACCTGTCCAAGCCATGTCCATGTAAAAGCTTCCAAATGATACAACATCAATGAAACAAATAATGTGGTGGAAACATTTCTTAATTTGGTCACATCTAGAGGCCTCAACTACCAAGTTCCAGTAAAGGTCAACAATTTGGTGGTGTCCTTTAAAGAAGGCATCGCCTCTTTAAATAAAAAAATAATAATACACCTTGTGAGGTTAGTACTTGGCTGTTTTTTTGTGTAATTTCTTATGCTGTTTAGTTTTACAAATTATTTTTGCATTAGTCTTTTCACTTTTATTTTTTAAAAGTTTGAACTCCTAAAAGTTTTTAAAAGTACGTCTGTTTGAGTTTGCATGGATTATTACAGGAAATTAGTATGCAGACTCTAAGCCAACCCTGTATGGCTGCAATAACTGGACATAACTATAATGCAAAAGTGCAAACTAATCCAAGCATAATAATTTTTCTCCAACTTTTCAGGAGGTTTGAACAGTGATAAGCCTCTCCTACCTTTCATAAAAGACAATGATGAGCCAGGATTGGCACCGGTGTTTGGACATATGAAGGCATCAAGAGAAGTTGAAGAATTCTGGTAAACCAGTGCTGGCCCTTGAGTAGTAATGGAATGATTTGATGAGTCCTCACCCACCACTCTAACCCTAAGACTGAATATATGGACTGTACCCTTGTCACTAGACACTGCCAACCACTGAACATTGGGAGAGAGAGCAATACTATAAATTTCAGCTTTATCCACCCCCCTGCGGACCTGCACAAAGTAGCATTAAACAGAGTACTTAGAGATTTTTTCAGGGTTGGTTCAAATTGTTGAGCAGTTTCTTTTATCAGCTTCAAGTTGTTGAACAACGACTAGATTTGAAATATACTAAAGTAAAGCATAATTTGTAGTAAAAATACATACAAAAAAATAGATACAGCATGCATGTTAGATATCTTTATCAGCAAAGTTTGAGATACCAGTATCTGAATACTACAAACATGCAAAACATATACTCAGTAATACACAGCTATAGACGAAGAGTGAGAGAGAGAGAGAGAGTTGTATCTCTTGTTCTCATAGTGGATATTTTTCCTCTCCTCCAGTAGATGTAGGCTACCAAGCTGAACCATGTTAAACCTTGGTGTTTTTCTATTTCTTTTTCTGTGAAGGTGTTCCATTGCTGCTATTTCATGTTCAGTAGTAGTTGACTACTACGAAATCTCTTCGTGTAGCAGTAGACTACTAAGAACATGGTACTGATAGTGTTTCAGAAATAAGGAAACAAGCTCTTAAAAATGGAGTTCGCGCAGGCAGGTCAGTGGAGGAGATCCTTGAAGATAGAAGCAAAAAATTTCCTGTTCGAAGAGATGAGAATCAAAGGGAAGGTAAGCCTGAAGGTAACGGAAGCGAAAAAGGGTACAATATTGCTGGAAGGAATAGAAGTGATCGAGTGGCTAAGAGAGTTCATAGCTGGAGCCTGTTCAAAAGGTAAGCAGATAAACTRGCWGGATTTTAGTACATTAGAAGGGAGAAGATATGTTGTTGAATGTAAGAGGAATAGAAAAGG